CACGAATAAATAATAGGCCACCATATATAAGATGCCCATAAGCATAATTAGACATTAAATCAATCATATCTACAAATTTTTTTAAATTATTGATTCGATGTGACATTTTATAAATTTTTTTCGAAATTTTATACTTATTTACTACACCAAAACGCTAATGTTGCTACCAGTAAGATTACAATTTCGAGTATATATATATGTTTAAATTGGTATACATGTAGTGGTAGACAATATTCTCTTAACTTCAATTTATTAATATGATAATATATTTTTTTTTCTACCAGGAGAAAAAACATTTCCTGAAAATCTGCCACGTTAAATATTGCCAGAAAATAGAATACCAGGTCTACAAGTATGATTTGAGCTTTGCAGAGATGCAAACAACTCCGGATACCACAAAATATTCGGTAAAAAAACCACGATTTTCGGTTCAATTCGCAAATATCTTACACGTATGCCTGCCAACTACTTCGCTCTTTGCAGAATATTTTACAGAGTGGTAGGCGTTTAAAATAAGAGCTTTCCGAATTTTTGGTAATTTTGCTAACATTTTAAAAGTCTACCCACTGCAGAGCGGGGAAAAAGTGGCTCAGCAAACGAACTTTTAAATTATTTATATGTAGTGGTTTGGGAAAATAAGTTTAACTAAATAAAAACAATAATTATAGCTGCAACTAGGGTAAAATTTTGCATAATGTGAAGAAAATTGTCAGTTTTGCTTGCTTCAACTCGTATTATTAGCAAAAATGTGGCGAAACCCATCAGCCTTTGATTTATTTACAAGTAGTAGTGAGTAAAACCATCACCTCCTACATAAGAAAGCCTCCACACGGTTTCTTATAAGTAGTCTGCGCAGATTATTTAAAAAGCGAACCACTTGTGCGCAAGAACCCATATTCTATTTTAAAAGCACTTGAGAGAAATTTAACATATATATTTGAGAGTTGAATCTGTTGTGGTTGACAAGTAATTAAAACAAACCAATAATATTCATAATTTAAAAAATTTTTTAGACACATATTTGCTACCATATTCTATTTTTTAATAGATTTCATATTAAATGGTTCTTTCACTAATAGGTTTATCTTCATAGTGGTCTGATCGGACCACCTACAAAAAACCCGTGTGGAGGCTTTCAGTTATAGGAGGCGATGGTAAAACCCCTTTATACCGAGTTTATTAGGCCTAGAATAATGGATTCAAAGACTACCATTCGACGATATTTATTCGCAGTCCGGAACAAGTTGGTATATCTGATTTTACGCCATTTTTTTCCTGTTATGACAGTCACAGAAATAAAAAACGGTCTCTATAATAAGCAAATAGTTTAGCAAATATGCACCACTTTTTAATTTAAAAAAAAATTGTATTTAAATTAAAAACAAATTGCTTGCACGAGCCAACGCATTATAATAATAAAAAAAAAACGATTTAGCTTACAATTAGGGTTATCCAAATTCTTCATATTCTCACCCGACACAGCACCTTAAATATAACTTAAATGAATTTTGCCTTTAAATATGGCACAAAAACTGCCAACTTTTACGTTTTTTGCGAAAAACTTTTTCCTTGTAGGTAAAGGGACAAAAGGAAGGTATTGTAACAATACAGAAATCTTTTTTTGTTAACCATTATCTATATATATGTATGTTAAGGCCATGGAATTGAACATAACCATAAACGCCGCTAGATGGCGATAACTGATCACTAGACAATATTGTAATAAACGAGAAGACAATGACGATCTGGTAACGAGATTATTACGATGTATATGTAACGAGCTGTAATGCACTATGTTGATGTTTGAAGAGAAGAGACGTTCTTCTATGTTCGCTATATTCTATAATTGTTGTGTTTGTC